GCACTCAGACGCTTCTTGGGTTGACGACCAGGCTACGCAGCGGTCGTCACAGGGTTACACCTTCAGCCTTGGCTCTGGTTCAGTTTCTTGGCGTTCTACACGCTCGTCTTCAGTTCTCAGCTCCAGTTGTGAGGCTGAGGTCTACGCCACAGCCATGGATGCACAGGAGTTACGCTGGCTCACCTACCTGCTGACCGACCTGGGAGAGCGGCCTCGTTCTCCTCCAGTGCTGTACGTCGACAACAAGGCCGCCATTGCCTTGTGTCAGGAGCACAGACTGGAGCACAGAACGAAGCACATCGCTCTGCGCTACTTCCTTGCTCGATAGTTGCAGCAGCGTGGTCAGCTTCGTCTTGCTTACGTGGCCACTCGAGCCAACACTGCTGATGTGTTCACCAAGGCGCTTCAGCCTTGTGATCATCAGCGTTTCTGTACTGTTCTAGGCCTTGTGCCTACTGTGCCTCACTTGCTTACTTCTTGACTCTGCTTGTACTGTGATCTCTATATACATATACCTGCATGCTTACACTTGCTAGGTTGTGATCACTGTACCTCTTGTTATATTATCAAACTGCATGTGAACTGGTCTTGTGACCACTTGCTTGTGCTCGGAATTTGTGTGGTTTCCTTGAGATCCACCCTGAGCTTGCTTTGCTTTGCTTTGACTGGTCTTGTGACCATCTGGTTGTCTCCCACTTCGCCTATGGGGGTGTGTCAAACATTGTACATGTTTATATTGTGTAGGCTATAGTGGGTTTAGCCCTAGAGAGTACAACACATAGCTAGGGTTTCCTACTTGTATCACCCTGCTACCTAGTTCATTCATCCTCGTTCAGTTCTAGATTCTAACAGCGCACAAGTAGAGGTATGTTTTTCACCTCAAATCCTGAAAGCAGGCAATTCTGCAATGTTTAAAGGTTTTGTATCAGTACAAAGCATGGGAAACATACCTAGCCTCATTGGTTTGATCTGAAACTGATAGGGAGGTCTAGAATTGGTGTCATGAGGCTACCCAACCATTTTCATAGCTTGCGCACAAGTAGAGGTATGTTTTTCACCTCAAATCCTGAAAGCAGGCAATTCTGCAATGTTTAAAGGATTTCTATCAGTACAAAGCATGGGAAACATACCTAGCCTCATTGGTTTGATCTGAAACTAATAGGGGGGTCTGGAATTGTTGTCATGAGGCTACCCAGTCATTTTCATAGCTTGCGCACAAGTAGAGGTATGTTTTTCACCTCAAATTCTAAAAGCAGGCAATTCTGCAATGTTTAAAGGATTTCTATCAGTACAAAGCATGGGAAACATACCTAGCCAGATTGGATTGATCAGAAACTGATAGGGGGGTCTATAATTGGTGTCATGAGGCTACCCTATCATTTTCATAGCTTGCGCACAAGTAGAGGTATGTTTTTCACCTAAAATCCTGAAAGCAGGCAATTCTGCAATGTTTAAAGGATTTCTATCAGTACAAAGCATGGGAAACATACCTAGCTGTCAAACATACTAGCAGACGGGCCTAGGCTTAGTAGCCTAGGCCAAGTTAAGACTAGGAAGGAGGCGCCAAGTACGATCGAGAGTTGAGCAAACGGAAAGAGAATTGAAGAAAGGATGATTGGACTAGCAAGCAGCAGGATACAAATAGCAAACCCTAAGGGGCTGAACTCACTATTGAGTACCCCACTGCAGGCTACACATAACATACTCTGACACACCCCCATAGCCAAAGTGGTGTGTAATCAGCACAATGAGCAGGCAGTGCAATAGTTCACAATTATGAGCAAAGCTAGAGGCAGTCACAGAAGGCAAGTGAGGAGGAGGAGGGACTGTGGGAGGAGAGAAGATGGGAGGCGTCGACTGAAGCTGCAGACACACGGGCAACAGGAGCAGCAGCTGGCACAGTGGCTACCGAGAGCACGACGGCTCCGGACTACAGGAGTAACAGGCTCTGCGGCTACGACGAGCGGCAGGAGAAACGGACCCACGGGCGACTAGCGCAGCAGGCTCGCTGGGCTACTAGAGCGCGACGGCTCCGGACTTCAGGCGCTGCGGACGACAAGACGGCTGCCTCCACTCAACCTCCCCCAACTGTCCCGCACCCCCCCCACACACCCCCTGCTGCACCCCTAGCTCCACTCCCACGTCACCCCCCTAGCTCCACTCCCCGCGGCTCCCACACCTCCACCCCCCTCAGCAGCAGCTGCAGCAGTGGGAGACGAAAAAGGAGGAGGGGAAAGGGAAGGGGAGCACCCACACCTCGCACCCCCATGCTCGCCACCCCACACCCCCACCACCGCGGAACACACGGCGGAATGGGAGCAATGGGCAGCACGGGGGGGGGGGGGGGGGGGGGGGGGGGGACGGGACGGGCTTCTGCAGGGGCGGCTTGCGCAGGTCCTGGGGCGACTGCTGCAGGGACGGGCTGCTCCAGGGGCGGCTGCTGCAGGTGCGGGCTGCTCCAGGGGCGGCTGCTGCAGTGGCGGGCGGCTCCAGGGGCGGCCGCTGCAGGTGAAAGGTAGGAGGAAGGGGGGGGGGGAGGAGCGCGGCCCCCAGGGCGCCCCGACGGGCGACGAGAAAGGGAGCCGCGCGGCCCCCCAGGGCCGCTGCGACGGGCGACGGGAAGGGCGCCGCGCGGGCCCCCAGAGCCGCCGCGACGGGCGACGGGAGGGGACCGCGCGCGGGCCCCCGTGGGCGCCACGACGGGCGACGGGAGGGGAGGCCGCGCGGGCCCCCGAGTGCGCCTCGACGGGCGACGGGAGGGAACCGCGCGCGGGCCCCCGTGGTCGCCACGACGGGCGACGGGAGGGGAGGCCGCGCGGGCCCCCGAGTGCGCCTCGACGGGCGACGGGAGGGGACCGCGCGCGGGCCCCCGTGGTCGCCACGACGGGCGACGGGAGGGGAGGCCGCGCGGGCCCCCGAGAGCGCCACGACGGGCGACGGGAGGGGAGGCCGCGCGGGCCCCCGAGAGCGCCTCGACGGGCGACGGGAGGGGACCGCGCATGCCCCCCAAGGGCACCACGACGGGCGCCACGGAAGGGTAAACCGCCACGCGCCTCGAGCGCGCGGCGGGCAGAAATTAGGGTTTCTGCGCCGCGCACCACGGGGCGCGCGGCGGACAGTACGGCAGCGGAAGCAGGTGGTGGGCCCATACAGGAAGGCGGCAATGACACGCCGCCCTCTGATACCATGTCAAACATACTAGCAGACGGGCCTAGGCTTAGTAGCCTAGGCCAAGTTAAGACTAGGAAGGAGGCGCCAAGTACGATCGAGAGTTGAGCAAACGGAAAGAGAATTGACGAAAGGATGATTGGACTAGCAAGCAGCAGGATACAAATAGCAAACCCTAAGGGGCTGTACTCACTATTGAGTACCCCACTGCAGGCTACACATAACATACTCTGACACTAGCCTCATTGGTTTGATCTGAAACTGATAGGGGGTTCTAGAATTGGTGTCATGAGGCTACCCAATCATTTTCATAGCTTGCGCACAAGTAGAGGGATGTGTTTCACCTCAAATCCTGAAAGCAGGCAATTCTGCAATGTTTAAAGGATTTCTATCAGTACAAAGCATGGGAAACATACATAGCCTCATTGGTTTGATCTGAAACTGATAGGGGGGTCTAGAATTAGTGTCATGAGGCTACCCAATCATTTTCATAGCTTGCGCACAAGTAGAGGTATGTTTTTCACCTCAAATCCTAAAAGCAGGCAATTCTGCAATGTTTAAAGGATTTCTATCAGTACAAAGCATGGGAAACATACCTAGCCTCATTGGTTTGATCTGAAACTGATAGGGGGGTCTGGAATTGGTGTCATGAGGCTACCCAATCATTTTCAAGGCTTGCGGAGAAGTAGAGGTCAGTCGTTTTACTCAAATCCTGAAAGTATACAATTCGGCAACATTTTGACCAAAACGAGCATAACTAGGCAAGCATGGCATGCGTAGCCGGTGACCATACTACCACATACCACTAATCCCCCAACAAACCATGTTTGTTAATAACACATGTATGAGATTGCCAGAAAATGAGTTGTCTAGTACTAGGAGCTTCATTGATATAGCTTGAAATGGTGCGTCTTGTGAAAATTTGGAAAAATCTCTAGTTCAAAAGGGTAAAGTAAAGGATGTCTAGGGGAGGTAAGAGTGCCACTTATGATTGAACTTGAGCACAATTATGATGGTTAAGACCCATAAAATACCATGACCAATTAGTGCGTTTGGAGCCGTAAAACATAACCAACTGTGCATTTGTGTATTGTACCAGCAGTATTAATGCAATCTATAGCTAAATAGTACGGGTACATTAAAAAAACGCACAAATATAAATATGCCAACACTTAGCCAAACCTCAGGCTATCATTTATGGCATTTCTGTACATAATATATCTGTAAGCCTTCTGGTACATCAACGATTTCATACTTGTTAAAGACAAGTATCGACTTAACACCTCTGACTGAACTGGTCGGACGTTGGTGGGGAACACGACGCTAGCGACGAAAGGACTTGCGGTGCACGGTGTTGCATTCTTCGCTAAGCGCCAAAATCAACCCTGTGCTTGGGGATTCACCAAGCGCCAAAATCAACACTTGCCACTGTTGGCGGTTCCATGTTACGAGCAACCCTGATTTTTTCGTAGTTGGAAAACTTCATGCACCACAGCAATATTGGGAGTGCGTGTTTTTAGCATCACGAGTGCGCTGAAAATGCTCACAACACCCATTGACTGCGGTCTGGTATAAAAATTAACGTAACCCACAGATCGGAAATTGACTGTGGTTGAAGTGACAGCATTTGCAACGTCAGACAAAACAGTCCACCTGCCAGCTGCAGACAAAGCATGCATTCGAAACTCCAACCTACCTTCGTTGTAAGCTTCATTCGGCAATCTGCCCAAATGTTTCTCACACTCACCCTTGTAAGTCCCGTACAGATGCGTTCCGTCTTAACTCCCCGCTAGACAAAGCGTAAGCAACGCTTATATGCTTTTACGCCAAAAATGTTGTCACAGTCTGGTGACGACTTTGAAAATTGCATCTCTGATTTTCGTCAGTCGTGTCCATTGGTGCAAAAAGCACCAATGGCAGACTAATCCCGATTCGCTCGCCACTCTTCAGACGCTAGAACCGTGCAAAGGCAACGGGGGTCTATCACCCTCTCCTTAGGAGGTCCGCCACGCCACCCGTTACAGCACACACACATCACAGAAGCGTTACGTCGTGCTCCCGTCGTACCTACTCCGTGGCTGTGTCTGCCTTTCGAAGTTCGTAATTTCAAATTTCGAAAACCAACAAGTTCCTCACCACCAAACTTCAGCGGGACAGCATGTGTTGCCACAACGGAGAGACGTGCGAGCGGTCCGCCCCAAGCCATATCGGGAGGTTAGTCACGCTAAGCTCCTAAGCGAGACGTAAACCCCTGCCCCACCCTAGTAGGCTGCGAGTGATGTTCTCCATACTCTTGCCACCTGGGTATATATTGATTGCAAGTTTCCGTTCCTTTTCATCTTTCTTACCGCATTACTTTCACGACTATATTAGTTTAGACTTCTAAACAATGGGAGGCAACTCTGATATTCAGCTCCCGCCCTCCATGAGAAACGCCATTCCGCCCAGGGCGGTACTACAACGGGGTGCAAAGGATAATCATAGGTTTGCTCTAGGTAATCCCCTTGCTGCTTCGACAATCGATCGCATCTAGAGTTGACACTGACGTTTTCCTTACCGTGTGTTCCTTTTCAGGAGGTGCGCCTGTTTCATCGGCAATCACGCTTCCTTCCGAAAGCACTAAGCGCAAACGCAGCGGCAAGGCACACCCAGTGACTCGGCAGGCGCCGTCACCAGGTCAAGGCTTGAACGATACAACCGTTGGCAACACCGCCTCTGCGGGAGTGGCGGATGGAGTTGAAGAAAGTGCGCATGCTTTCCCGGATCCATTAGCTGCAGGTGATGGCGCTGCTACGGACGGCCGTGGACTTCCTGCTTTGCCGGATGATGACGAGGCCTACGACATGCCCGATGTTGGCGCGGGACAAGTCGCGGCAGGTATGTCTAACCTTTCTTATTCCCCACGTCTCAGCTTTAAAATTTAATGTTTAATCTAACCGATTGTCTAATGACACGCATTGTATCCTATTTCGTAACAGATGCCAATCCAGGCATGTTTTCGCGCATGATGACTGAAGCTATTGGCGACGATTTCAACCCTGAAACGGCCAAGTTTCTGGAGGAGTCGAGGGCTGAACCGACGCTGGATGACGATATCAAAGTGCAGTACACGCAGAAGAAGAAGCAGAACAAGGCATTGAAGGAGGCATGCGCTATTAAAGACAGCCACATCAACAAAGCCTTGGGGATCATGGGGACCCTCACGGATCAGCTCCTGTCAGATCGGTTTTCTAAGCTTGACTATGAGGTAAGCACCCTGGCTTAATGTAGTCACGACGACTGTGCATTTCAGATTTCTAACTTCACGTTTCTTGGCCTGCAGAGGATGATTGCAGCAATGATAAATGACTTGCTGTTCAAGGGAACATTCTTGAACCTCAGCCCTGCCAGGGAGGACTTCATGGCGCGCATTCTCGGTAAGCCATGTTGGTTTCGGGTTTTAGTGTAATTCCGTGGCAGCGAGATTTACTCATGCTAACATTCGGTGATGTCATTGTTTGATGTTCAGTGCACGCAGGGTTCAAGGCGGAGTCGGACGATGCAGACCGTTTTCAGGCCTTCCTCAATGAGAAGGGTATCCCTGGCACAGTGGAACGGCGTTTCAACAACCGCATGGGCAAGTTGTACCACGAGTTTCGGTTGTGCCTTCGGAAGTCCCCATTCAAGCTCCTCAAGCCAAAGCGCGTTGGACGCGTGATTAGGTTTGAGGAGCCGCTGAAGTTTGCCCTGGACTGTGCTGCCTATGTGGCGATTCATGGCACAAGTAAGTACACAAGCCTAGTATAAACCCCTCACAGAGCCCCCTCAGGCCGCTCCACACACATCCATGGGCGGGCTGGGGTGGGCTGACCAGCGAGAATCCGGTTCCTGTCTCCCTGCTCCTGTCTCTGCTTCTCTTCTCTTGCTGCTTCTCTTCTTGTTGGTCCCTGTCTCTATGCTCCTGCTTCTGTGTTAATCTGTGTTATCTCCTCCCTATCCTGAACCACACTGGCAGGGGAGCTCGGGATTGACTGGCACATCTGGAACACTCGCCCGTTCTCTTCCCCTGCTTTCATGGAATGTGCCAAGCAGTTCGCGCTGGCCTATGACCCAACTAAGGCAATTGCTCTACATCCGGACCAGCTTCTTATCATCCTTGCTGTGGTATGTAATGATGTTTTTCCTGTATTTTCCCAAATGCGCTCAACAACCTCTAATTCTTATGTGTCCTTGCCTGCCTGCCAGGTGCGCTTCAAGCTGCGCAATCCTACATCTCGCAAGCTCAGACTGACGTGGTCTGGTGATAGCGAGGCCATGCGCCGCCAGGCGCTTGTGGTGCAGCGCTGGATTAACATGAAGGGCCACAAGCAGGGGAACTTCATTGGAATTGGGAACATCTGCATCGTTGGATGGCAAGAAATCCCTGCAGCTGAACTGGAAGCTGATGTGCTAGGTGATGAGGACTCGGTTAAGGAGGAGGAGGAGGATGAGGTTTTTGATGAGGAGGAGGAGTCTGATGGTTAGTTTTTGACTGGTTAGTTTAGTATGATATTCTGACAGCCCTAATTTAATAGGAAAGCAATGTCCGGTTTTGCTTTTAATTATAATGTTCTGCTTCGCGATCAGTAATATTGGTAACATAATAATAATAATAATAATAATAATAATAATAATATTAATAATATTAATAATAATAATAATAATAATAAAAATTCAGTAGCTGTTGTTTTCACGGTTTCTAAATTTATGCATATAAACCGCATTCTATAACACTGCATTGAACTGTACATATGACTGGTATTACACTTATTAAACTCAATTGTAACTATGTAACATCTCGCGCTTCCATAGTGTCACTTTCACCAGAATCACTGTCACAAACTTCATTTCTCCAGAAATCAACAAACAAAACATACTAGGGGGTCTCTCTATCCAACACATAACACGCGCGATCCGGCTATACCTGTTTCGAGGCACCCTAAACTTGTGCGATGAAGGGTTGGGAATGTTTCCGTGAGGAAACTTGATTCCAACCTGCAATACACACCGTGACACTCTTGATTTCCACTTTCCGAGGGCTGCCGAATTTCGGACCCCCCCCGTAAACGAAATCCACACCCACGGAACTTGCTTGGGTACCGTTTGGGTGGGGGGGAGTGTAACAAGACAAGATTCGCCATGCGATCATGCATGGGAATCTCCGAAAGGGGAAGGTAGTGTTGCCTAGCTAGCTCCGAACTCTTACACTTGCTAGCCTAGAGCACACTCCCGTATCCCTGTCAGGAAGATAAGTACAGCAGGGCATGGCATAGAGGCGCTATGCCAAGATGCCATTCTAGAAACGTGGCGACACGGTCTTTCTATCCGAGTCGCGCCTCACTTCTGCTAGCATAAATATTCTTATGTAGTCTTTCTTGTATCATCCTTGGATCTACTTTCTACTTCTTGAATCTCTTCTCCTCGTCTACTCTCTCGTCTCTTGGAGCTAGGCGTCCTTCCCAGCTTAGCCTAGCTTCTCCTTATTCCGCTGCGTGACGACTTCTATTTCTTCTAGCTACGGCGCTCTCTCCTTAGTCGCCATGGCCGGCCAGGCCAGCCGCGCCGTGCGTCGCTGCGCGCCGTAGCTCTTGTTTCACTGGTATCCGAGCCTAACGTTCCTTGGCTTCTTCTCTCGTGCTAAGCTAGCAGCTTTCCTCCTAACTTCTACTTTCGAGCTAGCTTACGAAACTCTTCAATTCGACTTCTACGAGACTACTATCTTGTGAGGAGCTAGGATGACGAGTTAGTTCCTACTCCAATCTGCTCAAGTCGAATTCGTTTTTGGTGTTGGCGAGATTCCTGAACCTGCGTGGACGAATTTCAGCCAACCAGAAGAATTGGGAGCAGAAATTCGAATTTCGAAGTGACCCTTCTGCTCAAGGCGTCTTCTTACTGCTACACTTCGACCTCCATGCAACTTTTCAGCCCAAGGTGTAGTTGGGTAAAAAGCATTCGAAAATTCAGTTGCATGACTTCAAATCTTTCTGCTGAGCACTTCCACTTGGTCTTCTCACCTGAATCTGTTCTTCATGAAACTTCTCGATACTTTGGACTCTCCACAATCTGATTCCTTTGTTTGAGAAGGTGAAACAATCAATTTCCTATGTGTACTTGCCATTGCTCTATAAACTGCTTATAGATAGTAGAGCAATTGTGAGCAAGACAATTGTGTGTCTAAGTTCTTTCCTTCCTTTCTCCTGATTCAGCTTGGCATGTTCCTAGTCCTTTGCTCTGTTCTTTATAAAGAGCATAAGCGCCTTATTTCACTAACTCTAGTGGATCCACAAGGTTGCTTGGCTAGATGGTTTGCCATGTCACTTCTATTCTCTGGTTTTCTCCTTTGAGGCATATAAGGCGGTATCGCTGGATGTGCTATAAGCACCAGCTTGTAAGGCAGCTTGGTATGGACTATGTGATCAGTAAGAAGCGCCATAGCTGAGGAAGCATGGGCTTATTTGAGGCTGTTCACACGGAAGGACCTGAGGAGTCCTCTGCCATTGACCAAGGCTGCAGGTGACCGCAAGAGCTGTAGTATGGGCTGCAGCTGTATGCCTACTCCCCTCACTTCTCCTCCGGACATTCACCTTTGAACAAAGACCAAGAACAAAGATCTACTGAAACTTGTAAATACTTTGTGATTTGCATCTCTAGGAGATTTGAATGTATGTACTTCCTGGTTTTAGACCCTTGATTAGTTAGGTAAGGGTAAGCATCGGGACGATGCTTCTTAGGGAGGGGAATTATGTAACAAGACAAGATTCGCCATGCGATCATGCATGGGAATCTCCGAAAGGGGAAGGTAGTGTTGCCTAGCTAGCTCCGAACTCTTACACTTGCTAGCCTAGAGCACACTCCCGTATTCCTGTCAGGAAGATAAGTACAGCAGGGCATGGCATAGAGGCGCTATGCCAAGATGCCATTCTAGAAACGTGGCGACACGGTCTTCCTATCCGAGTCGCGCCTCACTTCTGCTAGCATAAATATTCTTCTGTAGTCTTTCTTGTATCATCCTTGGATCTACTTTCTACTTCTTGAATCTCTTCTTCTCGTCTACTCTCTCGTCTCTTGGAGCTAGGCGTCCTTCCCAGCTTAGCCTAGCTTCTCCTTATTCCGCTGCGTGACAACTACTCTTCTCTTCTAGCTACGGCGCATCTCCTTAGTCGCTAGGCCGGCCAGGCCAGCCGCGCCGTGCGTCGCTGCGCCGTAGCTCTTGTTTCAGGGAGTAACGCCGATGCGCTTCCGCCGTTCCCGTGCGGCCGGGAGTTGCGCGCGCGGTGGTGATTGAGTCGCTCCCGCGCGAGTTCGGGCTGGTGGTTCTGACTGCTGCTGCTGCTAGCGCTGTGCTGACGCAATGGCAGATGATCGAGGTACATCGCTTATATCAGACTGAACAATAGCGGGTATGCCGACTGGTGGTGTGACAGCTGCTGCTAGCGCCGTGCTGACGCAATGGCAGATGATCGAGGTACATCGCTTATATCAGACTGAACAATAGCGGGTATGCCGACTGGTGGTGTGACAGCTGCTGCTAGCGCCGTGCTGACGCAATGGCAGATGATCGAGGTCGCGTGCTTATATCGGACTGACTTGTATCGAATATGCGTCCTGGTCATGTTAGGTGCATGTGAAAACGGACTTCGTGAAACTAGCGTTCTCAAGAAACCGATCCGCTCAAAGTGCGCAAGCGGACATCTGAAAACGCACGCACACATTACACTACCCGACACGACACTACTACCCTAGCCTACACTCTACACTACACTACCCTACACTACCCATACCACGCTACCCTACCGTACACTACACTACACCACACTAAATCCCATGTGCACTTGCTCGGTTCGTTCCACCTACAGCTGGCTGGCTCCGTTGACTCCGTTGACTCTGTTGACCACCTGCACCGTTCACCTCTGCTTGTCATGTGCGTGCTGACGTGGCAGATGGCGAAGCAACGGAGGGCCAGCAACGTCCAATACCCCAAGGTGCGCACGGGAGGGGGCGGTAGAGTGGTCTAATGTTGCTTTCTCCAATGTGGTTTTTTTGAATTCTTAGAAAACGCCAACAATGTTCCGTACCCCAACGTGCGCACGCGAGGGCACAGGGGTGGTGATCTGGGTGCTGTGGTTACCAGGTGGTTACCATGTGGTTACAATGCCATCCAGTGCAACAGGGTGGGCACCGGAGGGCTCATGACCTTCAGGAGTTGCGTTTTAGGATGTGAAGGTCGTATTCACCAGGCGGTTACAGGGTGGTTACAATGCAGTTCCACGGTGGTTACAGTGCAGTTACAAGGCGGTTGCAGGATGGTTACACTGTGGTTACATTGTGATTCTACCTTGTTCCAGATGCACAATGCTAAGGGTGGCAGCTTCACCTGCTCCCACTGCTCTTGTGTGCTCACTTTTCTTACCCCATTTGCACCTCCGTTCACCGCTCTGCACCGCTGGCTGGCTCCGTTGACTCCGTTGACTCTGTTGACCACCTGCACCGTTCACCTCTGCTTGTCATGTGCGTGCTGACGTGGCAGATGGCGAAGCAACGGAGGGCCAGCAACGTCCAATACCCCAAGGTGCGCACGGGAGGGGGCGGTAGAGTGGTCTAATGTTGCTTTCTCCAATGTGGTTTTTTTGAATTCTTAGAAAACGCCAACAATGTTCCGTACCCCAACGTGCGCACGCGAGGGCACAGGGGTGGTGATCTGGGTGCTGTGGTTACCAGGTGGTTACCATGTGGTTACAATGCCATCCAGTGCAACAGGGTGGGCACCGGAGGGCTCATGACCTTCAGGAGTTGCGTTTTAGGATGTGAAGGTCGTATTCACCAGGCGGTTACAGGGTGGTTACAATGCAGTTCCACGGTGGTTACAGTGCAGTTACAAGGCGGTTGCAGGATGGTTACACTGTGGTTACATTGTGATTCTACCTTGTTCCAGATGCACAATGCTAAGGGTGGCAGCTTCACCTGCTCCCACTGCTCTTGTGTGCTCACTTTTCTTACCCCATTTGCACCTCCGTTCACCGCTCTGCACCGCTGGCTGAGCACAACATCCTTGAGAGCTACCCCGCATTCCCTCCTCACCACTCTGCTCCGCTCTGCGCCCCTGGGTGTGCAGATGTACGAGGACAAGGAGGGCAGTCTGTTCAACTGCTACCAGCGCGCCCACCAGAACACCCTTGAGAGCCACCCCGCCTTCCCTCCTCACCGCTCTGCTCCGCTCTGCGCCCCTGGGTGTGCAGATGTACGAGGACAAGGAGGACAGCCTGTTCAACTGCTACCAGCGCGCCCACCAGAACACCCTTGAGAGCTACCCCGCCTTCCTCTCGCTGCTCCTCATTTCCGGCTATGCTTACCCCGTCACCGCTTCCGCGTACGTCCATCTATGCTCGCTCGCTCCCCTACTTCTCGCTTGATAGCACCCTGCCACTTCTTCTCACTCCTCCTCATTGCCAATTTGCCAGCTATGCCTAATCCCATGCTGCGAGCTCCCCACCCCCTGCTGCAAGCTCCCAATCCCAACCCCTATGCCATCCTCCGTCCCTGCCATCCTCCCCTCTACCCATCCTCCTTCTTCCCACGCTTCTCACCTCTTCTTCCTCCCTCCTTTCACCTCTCTGTTTGTCTCCCCTTCTCCCCGCATCTCCCCTGCAGGTGTGGAATGGTGTGGGCCATCGGCCGCGTCTTCTACTCTCTCGGGTTAGCTCTTTACCCTTGACTCTCACACACTCTCTCACTTTTCCCACTCTCCCTTCCTCTACTCTCCCTTCCACTATCTCCGTCTTACTCTCACACGCTATCTCTCTCACACACTCTCTCTCTCACTCCATCTCACACTCTGTCTCGCACTCTCTCTCCCACACTCTCAGACTATCTCTCACACAGTCTCTCTAACGGTCCATGTATTGATATATGCCTATAGGTACTAGCATGTATTGGTGATCCACACTATCTCTCACACACTCTCTCACACACTCTCTCACACACTCTCTCACATGCTCTCTCACACACTCTCTCTCACACAGTCCCGCTCACAGTGTCTCTCGCACACTTTTACTCTATCTCTCACACACGCTCACATATATGCTCTCTCCACCACACACGTCTCACACACGTGCTCTCACTCCCTTCCAGTTCCCCCCCTCTTCTCCCCCACTTCAACACTCCCTGTGCTTTCTCCCACGCCCCCTGCCCCAGTTAATATATCGAAAACCCCCGTAACCGCGTGCACGTGGGGCACGTTCTGTCTATTTTTATCCCATCTGCCCTCTTTCTCTCCCCCTGTGCTTCTCCCACCCACCCCCCCTGCTCCAGCTACTACACCGGAAACCCGCGCAACCGCGTGCAGGGCATGTGGGGCACATTCGGCCTGCTCGGTCTCCTTGTTATGGCAGGGGTGTTTGGGGTGCGACAGCTGCTGTGAGGCAGCAGTGCTGGCTGTGAGCTGAGCTGGCAGCTGCTGTGAGCTGGCAAGTGGTGTGAGCTGGCACCTGCTGTGAAGAGCAGTGGTGTAGAGGCTGTGGGGGGCGGCTGTGCTGCTTCCAAGCATACAGGGCAGATGTATTCAAGCGCGTGCTTTGCAACCGGGGTGCCGTGCGTGAAGTGAAGCGGAGACGATGCCTTGCTTGATGGTGTGATGATTCGCTTCCACATAAGTTTCCTGGTGTGACGTGTGACTCTTGAGTACAGTACATTCATTTTAGGTGGTACAAGTCGCATCTTTCAACAATGCTAATACTGGTGTTGCCACTTCCACTGTCAAATGTGTATGTCACCGTTTTGAAGGGAAAAATAATACTACCTTTGAACCCAAAGGGTTGCTCTTTGTGTGGCAGAAGAAAGGGCTATTGTAACAAAATAGAGAGGGGGCTAGTCCTGTAACAAAATAGAAAGGGGGTTACTCCTGTAACAAAATAGAAAGGGGGCTAGTCCTCAGGGCATATGATTCACTTTTAGGCACGTTAATGCATCAGGGTCCCTCTATGTAGAATCCCTGATCGACAGTGTCCCAAAAAAAAAAAGCCCGAAAGTTCAGTGTTACCTTAATAAGATAACACTAGCTAGTAGCAAGCAAGCCAGCTAGCATCAGCAACAGATGGTTTATTTAATCATCATCATCACTGCAGTTAGCCTCTGGTTCTTCCAACTCCTCCTCCTCCTCCTCCCCATCTGACTCCTTTCCCTTGCCATTGCCACTGCCCCCCCCCGTCTCTTGCTGGAGCTGCTGCCACATTGCCAAATGGGCGGCGCTTCTTGTAGCTGCGCCATATCTGCACGACTTCATCGTAGTCTGGCTCGTACTCGAGAAGAGACAGCGTGATGAGGTCTTCAAGGCGGGCGTCTTTGAGGCTCCCCCGCTGCCACGATTTGATAATATTTTGGCGCGAAAACCCGCGCTCACACTCCACTGTGCTCAGCAGCAGCACAGTGACAGCCACCCAGAGACGCACCAGGTTGGGGTAGCTCGTTGTCCAGTCGCTTGTCTTCAGCATCGCTGTTAGCCCGGCGTAGAAGCTGCGCTTCTTCGGGGCACCTGCGAGGATGGGGCAGAAGGTACGCAGTTCCTTGATCGCCAGCCGCTTGTCGATCCCTGTCAGATAAGACAGAAGGGAGAGAGGGAGTGGATTAGACGGCCTGGCATACCCGTGCACAGTACACTTGAAACCAGCATAGAACAAACCTCAAGTACAACATACGTGCATGCAAATGCAAAGCAAATACCTGGAATGATGTAGTCCGTCTCCTGTGCCCTGAACAGCGACACGAGTGACATGAGCCACTCGAGACACTGTTTGTGGCGCTCCGCCCTCCCAAGCTCCCGCTCGTCTGGCATGAAGAGCCTGACTCCCACAAGGGAGTCCAGGTCTTTGAACCTCTTGCTGAGGTTACGCACGAGCGTTTCAGCGAACGCGGTGCAGAGATCGACACAGGCATCGCGAGTTCCAAGGGTTGGGTAATCTTTGCATGGGTTCTCGTGCAGCAGGAAGGTGTGTGTAGTCAGCCGACCGTCCGAGTCCATTCCCTGCACCTTCACCTCGGGGCGGCCACCATCAGGCCCGTGCTTCTTGATGAACGGGGATAGGCGTGCGCTCATCCCGTTTCCGAAGTCGTCACCACAGTCGACATAGCGGGACTCGAAGTAAGACAGAGATCTCTGGATCTGCACATGTACACCTGCAATGTCAAGCTATTAGGGGCGGACAGAAACAATACATAGGGAGACAAGGCCAACATAGGGAATGCACACAATATCAGTGCGGTGCAGCATGTTTCCGCAGTCAATAGTAATCCATTAACAACCAGAAACCGAAGCCAAGCAAACAATAACGGGACATCATGTGAGGTGCAGCAGACGGTGTACACAGAGATGCAAATAACCCTGCTCACCTCTCCCTGCTAAAACAATAGAGGCAAGAACCCATGCTCACCTCTCGCCTGAACCCAGGCCTGAACCCTTACCGCCTCTCCCGCACGGTCCAGCGTATCATGCGTGCTCCGTATAGATAGTACACTTGAAAGCAGGGAGACCGTCAGTAGTTTTTAGCAAAACAAGCCACGAAAGCCTCTCCATCCACTCGCTTTTGTACTTATGAAGAGCCTTGGCGTAAATCGCGTCAGGACCTGCCGGTTCAGAAGGCCCGGGAACGGAAGGCGACACCTGCGTGCCTGCGATCGCGGGCGACAACCGTTGGTCGGCTGGTGAAGGGGGATTAGCTCCATCGTTACCGCCCTTGGAGCACCATGGCAGCGTCGATTGCGTGTATCTGGCGTTTTTCTTTGCCACGGGTACCGCCAATGTTTTTTCAAAAGAAGGCGAGGAGCTGTCTTGCTCAATCAATGGCGTTGTAGGGGATGCACACAATCCCTCATTATCAATGGGTTCGAACGGACCAAATTCGGGCGGCGCGCTTGCAGGTACATCTCCAAGGTTGTCGACTTGCGCTAGGCTAGAGAAAAGCAGATCCAGGCCGGTAACAGCAGCGGAAACATCAACTGGCGGACGACGATGCGCATCATCGCCTTGGTCGCCATTAATATCCATGCCGTCCCGGGGTTCCGGCATAGCTTGCAGCGCTACTAAACGAGCTAAACTAGAAAGAGGTTGCGGAGGGCATAACCCTCGACACGGCTGACTGCCTCTTGGTACACAAGGCAGGAACGCGAGGAAAGGAAACCCCATACGGATGGAAAGGATGGAGCAGAATGGGAGCCTGGATGGCTGGTAGCACGGCTGCGTGGCGTGGATGCAACCCATCATGGGAGCATCAGTGCTTGCCAGGACGACATAGACAAAACGCGCCACAGGTGCAAGCAACGGGACAGAACCCTCGCATCGCAGCTTGCTAGCATCGCTGTGTTGCAACCTTTTGATTGGTCAACCCATGTGATGCAGAAAAACTGGTCAATGATCTGACCAGTCGCGCCAACAAAACAGCCCTCAAAGTGAATAACACGGGGCGAATTTGTCTGGTATTCACTGCCAGGCGGTGCTGACACCGCGGGAATCTGAGATTCCCTGTACTTCCGGGCAAATCCACTCGAAACGGTAAGGAACCGCATTCAGTGTCAGTTTCGTTACAACGTAGTGGAAACAGTGTGCCTAAAAAAAGTATCCTGAAAGTTCAGAGTCATCTGGCTAAATAAGGCTGAAAAATCAGTGCCAAAAAATTTTGAACACTGAAAGATCAGTGTAGGTACACAAAACCTCCCTGAAAATCAGGAATTTCAGGGTAAAATTCCTGATATCATATGGCCTGCTAGTCCTAGAACATTGGGATTTTTCTAGTTGTGGTAAATCAAAATACCGTAGATGAAGGGGCTAGCCCTGGAACACAGAAAAGGGGCTAGTCCTGTAGCAAAATAGAAAGGGGGCCAGCCTGAAACTTGGATTACGAGCTAGTCCTATAACAAAAGCAACAGCTAGCTCTAGAACAAGAGCAGCAGCAGAGCCACAACACAGAAGAGAAAGTGTGTCAAAACTGTATGCACCACATTCTGTCTTATCCTTCCAGTAGCTTTAGCAGGCGGCGCTGCTGCTGATGAGGGCAACACCAAGCCAGACTGGTCCGATGACACCTGCGCGTACGCTTTGCACTGCATGGGAGCGACCCTGCGCCCAACGAACGCGCCGTAAGTCGCGTTGTCGTTGAAGGGGCACCCTGGGATGTCGTTGAGAGGGTCGCAGCAGGCAGGGACCGGCGGATACTGCTTGGCCCCGTTGTAACACCCGGTTGGGCCCTGTAAGGGAAGGAATCAACCGAGTCAGAAGCAGAAACAGAAAATAGATGTCAGAATGGGGTCCTAGTTTCTGTCCTAGTTGTAACACCCAGTTAATCCCGTGATGGAAAGGTGGAAACTGAATCAGAACAGTTGGAGGAAGGTGGTCTTGATAGCATTCGGGAAATGCCTTCTGCATTCGGCCTGGCACAGCTGTAGTGAGAACATACTCACCAAGAGCCCTTCTCTCTTCCCTTACACCCATATAAAACCTCCTCCAGCCAAACAACCGATTCATTGTTCGATCGCATACGTACTGAGGTCACGTTCACGGTGATGTTTCGCCCGCCCAGCGCCCTGAAGAAAGACTCGAAGACCACTCTGAAGAACACCTCCTTGCTGGTGAGCAGGTTGCCGAATGTGGTTCCTGTGGCCACTGTTGGGGTCACATGCCGAATGAAAAGGATGGGGAGGAAAACATGATCAGACAACGATGTTTGAAGGTATGAAGGGGTGTGAGAGTAGATGTTGATGGTATGAAGGAGGGAGGTCGTTTTTGTCTGGAGAGGAAAAAGGAGGATCAGAATTGGGGAGGATGAAGCGAGCGAAGTGAGTGAAACATAGTGAAACGGTTTGAGATGTTATATAAGATTTATAACAGAATCGAGATATGGCAACTAATGGGGGCAATGTACACGAAACAATGTGATGCGGGGTTTCACACGTATTATCAACGGACAAACGAGACTTACGCGGTATGTCTTTGTATTCGGATTAAACGAAAGATGCGTAGCAAGGTCCCGGACCAATCCGAATCAGCAACAATATAGTTTCCGCTATCTGCATGGACAAAGGTAGTGTTCAAATTATCAGCGGCTAGCACATGTTCTTAATGCATCTGTATGAAGTATACATTCCTGCACGACACTGTTCGCCAAACAGAAACGCACCGGAGGTTTAACAAAGTGGGATGAAAGTGAGATCGGAAACGCACCGGGGTTGCACATCACGGCGCAGTTCATGGCCTCCAGTTCCAGACTGCACTGATCGAACCCCACAAACCGCGCGCATTGCTGTGCGGGGTTGAGGGCAGCGTGTGAGGAGGGGAGGGAGGGGAGAGGGGGGGGGGCGGGGGAGCGGAAAGAAGGGGGAAGGAGAAGATGAAGAAAGGTCTCCGAGCCGAGTGTAAATTTGTCATTCTAAATG